ACTAATAATTTGATTTAATTTGTAAACTGTCATAAGTATTATGTATATAATGCATTGAACAGATTAACCTTAGTCAATGCTAAGCAAATCTTACCTATTACTTCACAGAAATTTACAAATCTCCACTGAAATGCATTATCTGGTTTTATAGTTTAATTCTCAGTACACTATCACTCATATTTGCTCCTGGGACCCACCAACTGTCACGCTGACGGTAGAGACGGGTGATATAGAATGCCCTCTGACTGGGCCGGGGATTTAGCTCAGTGGTGAGGCTGCCTGCCTCACAACTAAGAGGACCCAAGTTCGATCTCTGCTACCAAAAGAAAAACAAAAAAAAAGAATATCCTGGCTTTTCTGTCCACTGACAGAGGGCTTCTGGAGATGCCAGCTCTTCCACTTTACTAGGAAAGGAGTGGAAGAGCTTCGTGGAAGACAGATTGTGATGGTATTTGAAGAAGACAGAGTGACTATGGAGATAAAAGGCAGTTAGTTGCTTGTGTTCCCATGAAGTTGTCAAAACCCATGGTACCCCTTCCATTTGTCTTACTCTACTCCGTTGCAAAATACAATGCATCTACCCAACAGAACATAGGCTGACTTTGCCAGTAATCATTTCCTTGCTTCTGTACTTTTAAAACCTAAATATAGATTCCTAACTACTTTAGTTTGGTTTTGAACTTTATATAAATGTCATCACACATTATTTGTATTTGATGCTTTTATCCTAATTTTATGTTCTAAACTTGCACCCAAGATGTCATATATAGTTGGAATTCATTTATTTTCATTATTGTATGGTATCTCACTCTATGAATATGATACAATTTATCTATTCCATTTTGATGGAAATAGTTTTGTGTATTTCAAATAAAGCTTCTTTGAACATACTTGTACGTGTCTTTAGATGAATCTATTTTTAAAAAATCATGGGCCGGGGATTTAGCTCAGCGGTTCAGTGGCCTGCCTTGCAAGCGTAAGGACCCGAGTTCAATCCCCAGTACCAAATAAATAAATAAATAAATAAATAAATAAATAAATAAATAAATAAAATAAAAACCAAATGGCTTTCCTAAGATTGAAAAGAATGTAACTTATGAAAGTAAGAACTCAACAGCCTGGTTTAATGACAGATGGGACACATACAAGATAATTCTCATTGACTGAAAGATCAATGCAAAGAACCTAAGCTAAATCACATAAAGAAAATGGATGGGAAAAACCCCCAAACAAGACATTCAATCCCCTACCAAATAAATAAATAAATAAATAAATAAATAAATAAATAAATAAATAAAATAAAAACCAAATGGCTTTCCTAAGATTGAAAAGAATGTAACTTATGAAAGTAAGAACTCAACAGCCTGGTTTAATGACAGATGGGACACATACAAGATAATTCTCATTGACTGAAAGATCAATGCAAAGAACCTAAGCTAAATCACATAAAGAAAATGGATGGGAAAAACCCCCAAACAAGACAGAAAAACTTCAGGATTGGATTGTGTGTGCTAATGCAGTCCTAGATAGTAGAATCCTAATATTTCCTTGGCCACAGATTTGGGGCAGGAGTTGGCATCTGAGGCTGGTGTACTCATACTACTTTGTAGCTTGGGCCTGAGTCACCAGAATACGATGCTCTCTTTTTCCCTTGACTTGAGCTTGAGACTTAAGTGTTAGCTTGAGATTCTGGGCTGGTGTCTAGTCAGGGCCAAGAGAAGAGAGTGACTGAATGCTAATCACATCATTGGAGACCCTGTAGAGAGTAATTTCAGCAAATATTTCTTCTTTAACTTCAAATCACTTGGCAGTGGTTTTGCTTTTATTTCTCTTAGCTTCAGCAAGAGCCCGAACTACAAACATTCTTCCCCCTGATGTGTCCTCCAATGCCCCTTCCATGCCTTCCAAAGGAGAGGCAGACATCATAATATGGAGGACCAGAGCTTATCATACCCTGGTCTATCTTCCAAGTTGCGCCTGAACTTTACTTTGAACATTTCCCAATAAATCTCCAGGGTGGGCCTAGGAGCCCGGCTGATGCACTGGGACATCTATAGTGATGTCCTTGTCTTAGCTGGATCTCAGGTGATCCACATCCATCTAGCTGGCCTTCGCGTTCCTTTGATCCTGGCTCATTTTGCGGACCCTTAAATTTAATATATTGTTTTAATTATATTTTAGAAGATAAATGTACGGAGAGCGATGTTTATATATGAGTGGGAGAGTTCAGGATTACTGTTAGAATGGGACCACATTCATAGTAAATAAATGCTAGCGGGTTTCAATTACTTCTGCTTTTGAGTAGGAGGATGAACCTAACTCACATTTGCCACCAGAAAGGAAACCTGCTTGTTTAAATCTCTGACTTATCTGAGTGTTGCAGCCCTTTCCTATTGTATTCTCTCCACCTCCTTCTTTTCAGAGGAAATCTCCTAGGCCCTGAACCCTGGGAAGGGCAAAGTTTATTGCATGGCTGATTATTTTACACATAGAAACTGCCTTTGGAACTAGATTGAAAATCTCTTTTGCTTCATGTTTAATATTGTTCCTGATCCCATCTTCTTTACAGGGATCATATTTTTTAAAACTCATAGAGTTTATGTTCCAATATTTCTTTTTATTCTTTGCTCTGCTAGCTCTTTGTGTCCCCTCCCCTGCAACCCACACATACATAAAATTAACCAAGTCAGAGCTTGCCCACTGGCAGGCAGGCTGGAGGAATGGCCCACAGATTGTTTTAGATGCACACGGTTAATATCAGGAGACGCTATGTGACAATTCTCATTTTGGGATTCTCTTGAAATATCCAACTATCTGGCAGCCAGCCCCATATTTCTTCATGGCCAAAATCAGCTAAAACTGGTCTATTTTATTCATTTGCCCACTTCGCTCTCCCCCACTGTAGCTCCTGGAAGGCAGCAATGATGCAGAGGCAAGTAGTAGCCACCCAGAGTGACCACAAGGCCCTCAACAGCCCGCAGAGTCTGATGTAGCTCAGCACACTGCTGTGTCATCTGAGGCAGTGACAGAAGTAGCTCAGGAAGCTAAGCTCAGAACCCTAAACAGAAATCTACTGATGGCCGTGGGACCAAGGAAACAGCAGTAGATGCCACAGGGTTAGCAGATGACAGTGAAATTCTGAAGCCCCCAGTGCCCCAGCATTGCAGAGGAACAGAACAAGGAAAGGAGTCAGTGGGAAAATCATGCGGACACCTTCATATCCAGGTATGCAGGCTGATTCATCCTCTCTACATTATTGATAAAGGCCTCATAATAAAATACATTTTCTCTGCATTTTACTGCTAAACACACTAATTTCTTTCATCATGTTTACCCTCAAAGACTTCTGCAAACTCTTCAGAAACACCTGATTATCAGAAAGTATCAAAGTCCAAGGACCATATGTTTAAGAATCACCAACATTGTTATTTTGGTTATCATTCTGAAACATGGTGGCTTAAGACAGCAGCAGTATTCATTCCTCACTTTGGGGAACATACTGAGCTTGGCCGATCTCTGCCTCTGAGAGGTCACCAGGAGCTGCCTGAAGGGGATTCACATCCCGAGAACTTCTGGGAGGATCACTCACTCCTATGGCTTGGGAGCTGCTGGGTGTCAGCTGTACATCTGTTGGGCTGTTGGCAGAGACACCTACACAGGGCCTTTCTGTACCACTGTGTGGCTCCCTCCTAGCTCATGGCTCAGTTCCAACAGGAAGTACTTACTCACTGGCTTCAGAACACAAGCCCATACTTGTCACATTTTGGAAAAAGCAGCACGTCCACACTTGGTGTGTGTGGCAATCTCACAGCAGCTTGAGAACTGTGCAGAATCCCACATGGTCCTCCTTACTCTCTTGTACTTTTGTGCATTTTAAGTGCTTATCATGGGTTGCCAAAAGGTTCAGAGGGACATTAGGAACCCTAAAAGGCTTATATTGGCTCAGTAACAGGCTTATGTTAGCCCAGTAAAATGTGAAAGTTCTGGAATTTTATGAATTATTTCCAGATACATTATTTCTTGTGAGAAAAATGTATTTGGTACTCATTGGTTTTGGCACTCATCACAGGTTCTGGAAAAAATTAACAATGAGTATGACTGAATTCTACGAGAGGAAGCAGAAGCTATGGTTTTCTAAGCCCATTACTGTGCAGAATACTTACTGTATCAAATCAAGGAGAAGAGATGGAGGCCTCCTCTCTCAAGGCAAGAGTTTGAAATAATTTGGGGAATGTGTTTGAAAACTGGTTGTGGTGGCTTCCCAATACTGTAATACCTGAATTTATCAACTTCCAGGGAGAAAAAGTTGATTTTGGATCATGGTTTTGGAGGTTTCAGTCCATGGTTAGTTGGTCTCATTTCTTCTGACCCTGTGATGAGGCAGCTCATTGTGGCAGAGGGTACATAATAGAGCAAAAGACGCAGCCCAAGGAAAAGATGCAAAAGAGAGGAGGAAGAATAAGGGTTTAGGATCCTACTGTCTCCTTCAAGGTCAGATGCACAATGATATAAGACCTCTCACTAGGCCCCGCCTCTTAAAGTTTCCACCCTCCCCAATAGTGCTATGTTGGGACATAACCAAGCCTTTAACACAGAGGCCTTTGGGGAGACATTTAAAATACAGACTACAAAAAAAAATACATGCATAATAAATAAAATACAAGCTACAGCACTGCCATAGATTTTAAAAATGAAAATATGTAGATTTTACCTTAGAATCAGTATTTATGAGGCTGGAGGCTAGTTTTAATAAACACCATCAGATTTTTCTTGGACAATCCAAGATTTGACTTGTACATCATCTTACAATGTCTATTTATAAAGTTCCACCTCCTCTATATTTCATTAGCCAGATGTTTACCCCACAGTTAGCATGTTGTATTTCCTGGGAAAAAATAATGTTAAGTATCCATACTAAACTTGAATTCCTCTCACATACAGAGGACAGCACAAAAGAAACTGGAAGGGAAGTGTCTCTTAGACCAAAGTCTCAAAAAAAAAAAAAATAAGCAAATCAAAGTCATCCAGGAAATACATCAGTATGTACCTGTGTGCCTGATAGGAAACTTATTCTGCAGTGCCCATTACTTCTGAGGTATGCTTTCTTTCCCTAAAACTTTTCATTGGGGAATTATTTCTGTGCATGGGGGCGGGGTGTTATTTGGGATCCCTTGAGAAGCAGATCCTGAGATGAAGACAAAATGCCTGTGGTTTATTCAGGCAGTTCCAGGACGATGGGACACAAAAAGGTAAGACAGCCAAGAGGGCATGTTACCAAGCCAGTTGTCTTGGTGGGCAACCAGAGCTGAATCTAACTGGGAAGCTCTGGGGGAAAGACACAAAATTCGCACATAAGAGCTAGCCTACCAAGGGTCAGAAAGCTGGGATGTGTAAATTTCCACCTTCTTACGTAATTTGTAAGGACATCACAGGGGGTCACTGATTCTTACACATTTCGATGACCAAAGTGGATCCCAGCAGCCTGAGAGAAGGAATTGGCCACTGTAAATCAGGCAAATGTGTGTGGAAAAGGTTTAGGACCCAAACAGACATCCACAGAGCAGACCCACAAAATGTCACATCTTACATCAGTGCTCTGACTTCACTGAAACAAGTCAGACCAAGGACACTTGGACACATGAAAATTTCTAACTGGTGTTGTTTTATGATTTTTCTGTTGTATTGTGTTAGACTATACATGGAAACTCTTTACTTTTTGGAGATTGTCTCAGTTACTTTCTTCAGTGCTAAGACACAATATACATTCCACCCCCCAAAATTGAAGGAGATAGATATTTATTTTGGCTCATATGTCAGTCCCTAGACATCTCCAAGGCAGGATGGCATGGCACAGGGGCATGGTGGAGGAAAAACTCCACACCTCATGGAAGACAGAGCGCACAAAACAAATTAAAGCAGGTTGTGCCTACTGTGGCCCACCTTTTCTGACCATGTCTCACCTAGTAACAGCAAGTCAGCCATACCCCTCTAATCCAGTCCCCTTCCAAAGGGGATTGCTATGATCCCATGAGGCTTTAGGGAGACATGTAGATAAAAACTGTAACAGAAATGCAAGTGAAGAACCTTCCTGAGAAACTTGTGCTATTTTATCTTTTTCTGAAGGAAGCCACTTCTTATCAACAAAAATAATGAACTTTTGGAGCATTTGTGACACTGTTTCTGGATGTGTGCCGTCTAGCTGGGAGCTGGCCAGATTCAGGGGAACTGAGGCCACAGTACAGGAAAGCTCATGGAAGGATGGATGTCTTTGACTCCATGAAGAACCCTGACTCTACAGACTACTTTGATGTCATCTACCCCACTTTATTGTGTGGTGTTTTATTGCATACACAGCAGGAAATGGTGATTTCTTTCAGCTGGTTTTGCTCTTTGAGTCAGTGCTTGGATGGTTGTTTGGAAAAGGCTATATTCAATCTTTCCAGCTGGAACTTTGGGCTCACTCTGTTTCCCAGGGTTCCTTCGAGTTGCTCCAGTGGGAGTCCAGGTCAACCTTTTGCTGTCCAGATGACCCTTTGGACATGAATTTCCATGTGTGTTCTCATCCGAAGAGAAGAAAATTGAGAGGCAACTTGTGAGTTTTGATGACTGCGCTCTGCCTAGAGTAGAAACCCTCTGCCTCATCGTGACACACCCAGAGGGGCCCTGCGGGGAGGTCCCACTTGTTTCTGTTGCCTTCCTTTGGTTTATCAATGTACCAGCTTACCAAATGCATATCGCTTTCCTTCCCAACCAAGGCCTGTCTTTTCTGGCCCATTTCTATTTAAGGAAGATGAAGCCATGTACTGAGATTTGTATTTGTGAAGATCTAAGGACATAATAACAAGAACTGAGGTGGAACTTTGTTTCCCTTTTCGGCACCTTCCCAGAAGGACATTTTACACTTTGTTCTTAGGGAATTTGTCTGTTCATCTGTTTTCTCCTCGGTGGGCGCCATTCTTCCTCGCCCGTCTTGAAGTTCACAGTGACAATCAGTAAGTCAAATATAAATTAGATTAGACTGTGTTCTCATGAAAGTAGATTGTGATATTCAGTTATTCTACATCAGAGGACGCAAACTTGAAAGCCCCTGCTCAACTTTATTAAATAAATATAGATATCCAGACATAAAGATTTCCTTAAATAGAAATGGGCCAGAAAAGACAGGCCTTGGTTGGGAAGAAAAATGATATAAAATAGACAGACAGGCATAAATAGACATATAATGTGTTCAATCAGGGTGTACACATACAGATAATATTTTGCTTGATTTATGATAAAAATATGAGCTGTCCATGTAGATAGACAGGAATCTGTACTAAGATTAAGATAATAATTTTAATGTAGGCATCTAATTAAAATTATACAAATATTAAAATTGACTATACTTATAGCAAATTTACGTGACACTGTGGATGTCCTACATCTCTCAGACAGATGTAGGCTCAGTGGCACGTGCCTGCAGTGTCAGCATTCTCAGCGGGCAGAGGCAGGAAGATCACAAGTTCAAGCCCCACCTGGACAACTTAGTGACTTAGTGAGATCCTGTCTCAGGATAAAAAATAAAAAGGAACCAGGGGCCTTAGGTTCTATCCCTAGCCCCACAAAAAAAGAAAATTAAAGCCCTCTTTCCCCACAGTGACATGTGCAGACTGCTGAGCACCGTCCAGGGTGCCACACACCCTACCATTGCCTGTTGTCTGCTCGACACTGAAGCCCAACTCCAGTTACCATTGTGCTCGCGAAGGTGCTCAGCCTCCCTCCTGCATCTGTGTGGCTTCCACATTCCAGTCCTGCCGCAGCTGAAAGCTACAGAAGGACAGGAAATACACTTCTTCCTGCTTTGTTCATCTAGCACCTACCACAGGCAAGTAAGTGCTCAGTGGACATGAATTGGATGAATAAAGGGAAGGATAAGCTGTATCTTATTCTTCAGCATGATATTTACTTATACGAATTATATTTTTCTAGCACCATAGAAGTTATAGCCCAGTCACCAATAGCTGCAAAACCTTCAGCCACTGCCCTATGGACTGAAGTTATCAGCACTAGGGGAACTGAGAACGGGGTGACCAAAGGAACAAAGGGCTGAGTTTATTGACAGCCTCTCTGGAAACTTCCCTCCTTCTGGGTCACACATGTGATATCAATGGGGGGAGAGGGTAAGCGAACCATTGAACCTTATACGGTAGCTCCAGGTGCCAGGAAACCAAGGATTCCTCCCATGCGCCTCACGCGGCCCTTTGCTATTAGTACTGCTCAACTAGTAAGGAGACTGTTCTTTAAAAACAAATCTCTGTGGTGACAGAGGAAGAAAGTGGTTTTGCTTTATTTTTATAGAAGGCCTTGTCTTTCTAATGTTTCCTTGTGTTCAGAGGAGATCCCTAGAGCTCACCACAATCAGGGAACCTTGTTCCCCAGGGCTGCATGCTGGCCCAGCTGAGACCAGAGTGCTCTTGACCCAAATGATTACACCTGTCTCAGAGCCCAGCCTCCCCAAGGGTCGACCTTACCAAGGGGAGAAAGGGGCCCTATCCATAGGTTCCTCAGATGGAAAATCTAAACTGCAAGACAGAAGAAACCCTAAGATACCATCTACACATTGAAGGAAAAAAAGAATTTCTTATGGAAAAAAAATCCAGAAAGACTCCTTTTTGCTTTACAAGGAAACTCAAATGCATTTCTCTGGCCTGCACAGCCTGGCATGATGAGCCAGTCCTCCTCTCCACCCCAGCCCTGTTTCCCCGCAGCCCGCAGCTCTTCTCCCCAATTCAGCAGGCCCACTTGGAGGCCTTCGTGCTGGCCTGGAAGCTGTGATCGGCCCATGGTTGCCTTGCTTCCTACTTGGAGAAGACTTCCTTGACCACTCCGTCTTATGAATCCCAACTTTATTCACCTACAACTTAGTCACTGTCAGCAATTATCTGATATGATTTCTTGTTATTGTTTGATTTCCCCACTAGAAAGTTTGTTTCTTTAGAGCAGGACCTTATCTCCATTCATGACTATGTTCCCAGTGCACAGCACCCAGTAAATCTTCAATAAAGAGTTCTTGGATGGGTGAATAAAAAAAAAAAAAAAGAAATGCTTGTAGGCAGATGAGAACAGAGTTTGATTAGCTCAGAAGCAGGACTAAAAGAATAAAAAAGGAAGGAGCTAGGAAGAAGAGGCCAAAAAGTGGTAAGAATAAAAAGAAGCAAGAGGCAGTTTTCCTCCCTGCTGGGGAGCCCTCCCCAGCCACCCAACATGTTGACTTTCCTGTCAACACAGCTTCACGCTCAGCAAAGACATTGGAGGAGAGGGGCTGGCACCAACTGCTGCTGCTTCCTCCAGCCAACTCTGCACCATGCTCTCAGCCTAGGCCTGGTCTGCAAGGCCCAGGGAGGACACAGCCAGCCAACTGGCCAGCTGTGGTATCCAACTGGAACAGTCGGCTTGCTTGGGGCCCTGGGAGGGCCAGCATGCCACCCACAGTGCTTTACCTCCGCTTCCTCCTCCAGCTGGGCCCCATTATTCCGAGTCGCCATCTCTCACTTAGGAGTCTGAGCTCTGGACATGAAAGTTTTTGGAAGGACAAAGTCTATTTCTAACAGTGAGCTGGAAGAACACCCTAATTATAGCCCTGGCCTACATCAAGGGAGACAGCTGAGTCAAGCTCCTCCTATGCCTTCCTTCACTTAAGCCTCACAGCCTCTCCATGAGGTGGAGACCGTTATTCCCACTCTCATATGAGCGAAGAGAATTAAGCAGCCTGTCCAAGTCACAAAGCTGAGTAAACGCCAGTTGCCATGTAAACCGAAATCAGCTCGTTCTATTATGCCCAGATGAGGGCAATTACAGTTAACTTTTCTGTAAGTCTTTGGTTTAACTAACTGCTTGCTCTCCGTTTTCTTTTATTATAGGTAAATACCTAAGTACAGTCATTTAATTTTCTCTAGATAGGGCTATGAATCGCAAAGAAATGTGGCGATCTCTGAACATCTATTTAATTTTTTGCCATGATGGTAGTTGTGGAAGTTGTTTTGTTATTGCTTTTTGAGGGGCTGCCTTTCCGAGACCCCAGAAATCCTTCCACACCCTGTAAAACAAAATCGGCTGGCTGCACCACACTTTCTGGGTCGTGCTGCTCCCTAGTGGCTAAAATATATACAGCGGCAGCTCAAATCGCGTCTGCCAGAAGCTACGCTTCGGTTTCAGGGATCAGCTATGAACAAATTTAGGGCCAAACCTTCACCCAGCAGTTCCTTTAATTTGCCTGCATTAATTGAATGGCACGTGAACAACCATATTCCCTCTTTCCAGTAATCCAGGATTGAAGTATGGGTTCAAAATCAGTGTATGAGACATTTTCAAATGAAAATGCAAAGCATTTCTTATTCTTTCTATTCCCGTTGATCAAAAAGCTGCAAAGGGCATGGGAAAGACAGTGGTTGTAACTGCTGTGTGTTCCTCGTGTGGTGTCCTCTTTTTACACACTGCAGAGGACGCATAAAGCAGACGGCACTGCTGTTTGTACAGTGAAATACAACATGGAATGCAGCCCACCTCTTAGAAATCCTGACATTTTTTTTCTACTTTCAAAGGAAGAAGAAGGGGCCTTGCAAGAAGAATGGATGGGCCGGTAATAATTCTCCTGAGTGCCTCTTGTTACAAGGCGGGATAGGTGGGCGTTGTGTGTAGTCAAGATTTACTTGTCCCTTCTTCGGCTGTTGTGGTTGTTTTTATCTTTGGCGGGGGGAAGTTATATGTATCAAAAAAATAAAAGCTCAGAAGTTGTGTCTACCTGCGATTACAGGATTATTCATGCTGACTGAATTCACCCATCATTCAGTTTTTCTTCATTGAATCCACCAGTTATTTTGACAATTTGCCCAGGCAGCAAAACAAGCTCAATGCATGAGACCAGACCCCAAAACTTATACAGCTTAAATTTATAAGAATTCTCAAAGCTGCTTTTCCTTTGGTTTTATTACCAAAGCAGCAAACTACAGTGTAAAGGTTACAGCTAATGCAATGGGTGAAAAAGTAGCTGTAGGTTGTTGATGTTGTACATATTCATCCCCTAGGTGCATCCAAAACCCAGCTCAGCCCATGTGGGGTGATGAAATTTCTGGAAAGACACAGCCAGGCTTAGATCCGACAGGGAGAACCACATATCACCTGGAAGACTTGGGCATTAAGTAGTGGGATCTGGGGAAGATTTTTGGGTTGTTTCTCTTGGAGTAGAAACGCATCCAAAATAAAAGGGCATTTCTGTGAAGAATAGTATGGATGGATAGTGGGTAGTATTGGGGATAGAGGCATTACAGAATGCTTTTCTCGACTGAAAGATCCCTGTATATATAGATGGAGACAACTCATTCTGCTGTTCAGTGGTCATGTGACATAGTTTCATCCAATGAGAGATGGATAGCCATAACAAGGACAAGCTTTCCCAATAAAAGGCAAAGCCTCACTAGGAAAACAGGACAGCCTTCAACTTTCTTTCAGACTTTGGCTCACACCTGGGACACAGAAAGGAGGCCCAGAGAGCTGCAGCCATCTCTTGACTATGAGGTAGCAAGCATGGAAATGAAAGATCAAATGCTAAAGAGAGTAGAGTAGACCACAAAGGCATTGTTGAGCCATGACATCAGCCTTGCACTGGCTTCCTCATTGTCTCTCTCTCTCTCTCTCTCTCTCTCTCTCTGTGTGTGTAACAAATAAACCCCTAAACCCTAATGTTAAGCCACTCTTACAGAATTTATCATTATTTGTAACCAAACAAAGATAGTTTTAGCTCAAAGATTTCTAACAGACTGTCTTAGTTTGGGCTGCAATAACCAAATATCACAGATTAGGGGGTTTAAAGAAAATAAATGTGTTCCTCGGTTACTCAGAATGGGAAATCCAAGATCAAGATGCCAGCAGACTCTTCCTGGCAAGGCCTCTCTTTCAGCTGTGTGCTACTGCAGAAAAATCTCTCCTTTCCTCCTGTGCAAAGGCTCTGATCCTGTCTTGAGATCCTGATTTCACTCTCTCATGCAAACCTAATTCCCTCCCTCAGTGATGCCACAGAGGGGCTCCTCTTCACTCTGTGAGGGTGAATAAAACACAAACACAACAGAGGCACCTGTGCAAATCAACACAGTTTAAGAAATTGATCAATATCCCATTATCCACCCTGTGCTTTTACTTGGCATAGACCAAGCTGTCCCATGAATCTTGACGTACAGAGCAGATACATTAGTAAGGCTATTTATTCTTGAGGTCAAGACTCAAGGGTTAGCATTCGACCCGTGTGAAAATTTATTACAATTTCTTTTACAAGGCTATACCCTCTTGAAGAGAAAGAAAAATCTCTTTAAAGCAAAGGATTCACTTAATTATTTGCTTTATAGAATTTAACTTTAGCTATTTGCTGAGTTCATCATTTCTATTTTGGTCCACTTTTAAGATGTATTCTCAGTTTAACAACCACTCATGGAAATGCAGATCAGTTAAATGAACTGACCTCATTTTAGGATCCTGGCTACTAATAACGCTACTTCTTTTCTCATTGACATTGACTCATCTGTGGCATGGTGAGGAGGAATAGCCCAGTCAAGGGATGGTCATAAACTCGTTAATATACAGCTGATCAGCCACTCGCCTACACATATAAGTTGACACAAAATTTTAAGAAATTGGTGCTCTTTAAAAAGGCATCTGTAAGGAAGATAAAAGATGTCTTTGTGTTAATTCAACAAAAAAGTATGTGGGTACCATTGAAAGAGCTATTCGCCTCATATGGGATACATAAATGTACACATAATAGTGATTCACATTGTAATTATAGGTTATAATTATGTCTTGCATTATTATGTACTTTTTAATGTATCACATAA